ATCTATTGGCAGCACCTCGAACTCCATTTCCTCTTTGAAACATATCTCAACACGCAAAAAGGGATCTAAGTTGAACAAACCATCTGATCGTGTAATGTGCACGGATCTTATTTTCTTGTCCAACTTTACTTTGGCACCATCTGTCAGTTTGACTGATGAGAATATCATGTCATTTACATTGTGATCGATTTGAATCTCACTGACAATGTCCACATCAACAAGCACCAGCATTTTCCCATGATGTTTCATATTGCGGATAAATTTAAAGCTCGATTGTGCTGACTTTAGTTGAACAAGATTAAGACCAGCAATGCGTGGCAACACAATCGTGGCGATGGTATTCGTAACTGAGATGCAGTCACAGCGTTCATTGATGAACAAAATTGCATTGTTACTAAATTTCAGTTACTGATCTTAATATCCTTAATTTGTTCGGGAAGCGTCATATCTGTGGTAAATATTATGTCTGAAAAAGATGCTTGCATCGTGTTCATCGGAATATTGGTTGGTACATTACGATCATCAGGGACATCCATTGCAACTTCAATCTTCTCTGGTATTGAGCTAATAAACTTTGCAGAGCACGATCTGCAGCTAATACTTTTTAAATTTTTCATTTTGCTGAAAGATGCACAATTGCCCTCATCTCCGTAATTTTCGAACTCCAATCTAACTTCATAAGAGCATTTCACTAATTTAGATGTTGACAATACATTGAATTGATAACTTAATCGTTGTTGTTCGGATGAAAAGGCTTCTATCGATTTCCCATCTACCTTCATGTCAATACTATGTATTTCTATCCTTAAGTATGAACAAAACATTTTGTTATCGACCATTTTCTCCAAAATTTGCTGATTTCTTTCCAGAAAACTGAAACTCAAGCTCAAATGAGGGAACAAAAAATTAACTAACGATTCATGCAGATTAGCATATATGATGATAGGATCGTAGCATTCGGAATTACCATGCAATTTGGCAGTTTCCCCATTGTTATCAACTAAATTGAGCACAATGTGGGAAGAAATAATTTCACTGAAACTCCTACCGTTGTCACAAGTAAGAAACATGAGATCATAAAATTGTTTCAATTTAGGGGAGTTGAACTTAGCTGAGTCATGCCTTTGTATCTGATTGACAAGTCCAGGATTATTCATTAAATATACGACTACAGCATATGCAAGCAGATCACTTGCTTTTGAATAATCAAATATCATCATGATATCCATAATTTCATCGTGATCGAATGTGGGAACATAGTTCCGTGTTAGCCCGGAGAGTTTCTCTAAAAATGTTCTTTTAAATGGCGCTCTCAGGATATTGAATGTTGTACCATAGGTTGTCTGAATATAGTCGCTCACTGATTTATGCCCAGTTTTACAAGCACAGCCTACTTTACTTGCATTTGATGATTCCCCGCTTCCATGATTACACAATCTGCCATTCTGTTCTTGTCCACAATTATTAACCATTTGAGCAGGTGCTTCATATTGTGTTGGTGAGTGCATAACCATTCTTGGTTTTAGCTGCTCCAAAAAAACTCGTTGATATCTTGTTTTCCAAGTCACTGAGCACCATAAAGTCTTTAGATTCTTCATTCACTATGCTATCAAAAACCAGTATGTATGTTATAGTTGCACTGACACAGCTGCACAAGTTATGGAACATGCGACTAGCTGTGGCACGTTCTTTTATGCTTCACTCATTAGTATTATATGGAAACTTATTAGCTATATATTCTAAAAATGTCTTTCAAAAATCATAATTTCTCGTTCTATGAAATAAAAGCTGAACAGTCCATAATAGATGCTAGTGCGCCAGTAAATCATGCATAATTCATTCTGGGTATAATACATAAACTTTTCCAGTTTAACACATTTTTATAGAATCAA